AGATGATAACTCACGAGCGGCCCATTTATGGGACTTGGTTTGATTGATTCGCTTATTTCAGCTAACGGGCCATATTTGGGCCCAACAGATACCAAGAAAAATATTATCAAATTTTCACTTAAAACTAGTTGAAACTTTTAATATAAAAAAAGTCCTACAATTTTCAAATCTCTGTCAATAGATCAAATATGTTTATGTAACATAACTAGGTAGGGTTCAATCTACTAAAATCAAACTGGACCAAAATAGAAAAAAATGGTTTAGATTTGATAATAACAAATAAATTGAATGAATGTTAGTTTTAAGAAACATTAATAAATGGATATGATTAATTATATAAATCCATCAAACCGAAGAAAGTGATTAATTAATTAATATATATTAGTATACTTATATGAAAATATTATAATAAATTATTAACATATACATGATTCTTTATTATGATATTCGTATTTAAAGCACGGATTTAATTTTTAATTTTTTCTAAGTTAAAAAACTTATTTTCAAATAATTTTTTTCATATATATATTTATTCTAATATATATTTATTTAATAATATTATTATTTATTATTTATTAATTTTATTTTAATAGTAAAAAGGAAAGAGAATATATTCTATTTTAAAATTAGAGTATAAAATATATTTTATAATTTCATAAATCTGATTTCTAATCACATAAACTAAAAATTTTCATAAAGGTAAATATAGTTATCGTTTCCGGAAAAATCAAAAATCGCTAGTATATAAACCGAACCAAAAAAATAGATATGGCATTAATATGATAGTTAATTTTTAGAAGATAGAATATTGAACCGACATCCGGATTGAACACCCCTAAATATGTAGATATAATTTATCATTTTGTAAAATTACAAAATTGTGAATAAGATTATGTAATATGAATAGTATCATTGTGTATCACCACGGCTTTCTTTCAGTACAGGTCAACGGGGAACTGGCTGATTATTTTCAGAGTAAAAGAGGTCTAAGGTAGTGATACTCGCTTTCACCATACTTCTTTGTCATAAGTATGAATGTTCTGTCCAAGATGATAGATGAAGCAGGCCACTAAGGAAAGATATGCTATCATCCCAAATGCAAAAACATTGATCTCACACATCTCTGTTTTGCAAATGATTTAATGGTATTTTCAGATGGGACTAAGAAAATATTTGATGCTTTTGACATGATGACTGAATTGAAGATTAGTTTGGAGAAGTCTACGTTGTTCATGGCATGTATTTACGCCTCAAAAACAAGATGATATCCTGAATCATTTTCCATTTGCAGCTGGCAAGTTACTGGTGAGATATTTAGGTCTTCCGTTGTTGACGAAGTGCATGACAGTCTCAGATTTTCTCCCTCTGACAGAAAAGATAAGGAATAGAATCAGTAAGTGGACAGGAAGATTCTTGTCTTACGCAGGAAGGCTACAGCTGATAAATTCAGTAATTTCTAGCCTAGCAAAGTTCTGAATGGCTGCATTTAGACTCCTCAGTGCTTGTATAAAGGAAATTGAACATTTAAGCTCAGCTTTTCTTTGGTCAGGGCCTGAGTTAAACACCAAAAAGCTAAGGTTGCTTGGATAGAAATGTGCAGAACTAAGCAAGAAGGAGATTTGGGTTTGAGACCGCTTAAGGAAATGAATCTAGTATGCGGGTTTAAATTAATATGGAAGATTCTGCCGTGCCATTCTTTTTGGGTCAACTGGTTGAAAATGTATCTGATCAGGAAAAACTCGCTCTGAACAGTTAAGGAGAACACTCGAATGGGATCCTGGATGTGGGAAAAAATTCTTAAACTCATGGAAATAGCTAAATGGAACTATCGGGTTGAAGTAAAGAATGGGAGGAGTACTTGATTCTGGTATGATTCTTGGTCTTCTCTTGGATGTCTACTAGATTTATTAGGTAATGGAGGATGTATTGATCTTGGAATCCCTGCTCATACAATGGTTGAAAAGTGTATAAACCATAGAAAAAGGAATCACAGAGTCACAATTTTGAATAGGATTGAAGTGGAAATAGAGGAATTCAAAGAGAGTATAGTGCTGGAGAAGGATGTGCCTTTGTGGAGGGGTAAAGGGAAATTAAAAAAAAAAAAAAACTTTCTCTACAAGTGAGACGTAGGAAGTTGTTCGTGAGAAGCATCCTATTAATGAGTGGTATAAAGCAGTTTGGTTCAAACATGCCACTCCAAAGTATTTGTTCTTGATGTGGGTGATAATAAAAGATAGGCTATCAACCGGTGATCGTATGCAGAGATGGAATGCAACTGTCGACACGACTTGTGTGTTCTGTCAAAAACCGGTAAAATCGATACATCATCTCTTCTTTATTTGTACATTCTCCAAACAATTTTGGGAAACGTTGACAAAAGAAGTTTTACAAGATCAATACTCCGCAGAATGGCCTAAGCTAATGAGTCTGATTAATGATACCACACTGAACATGTTGCAGCTGTTCACGCTCATGTATATTTTTCAGGCGACTGTTCATAGTATATGGAGGGAAAGAAACAGGAAAAGGCATGGGGAGAAGCCTTCACCGGCAAAACATTTGGTTAAATTGCTGGATAAAACAATGAGAAACAAGTTTTCTATTATTCAGAGGATAGAAGATTAGAGATATGAAGATGAGTTGGTCTTTTGGTTTGCAATAAGACAGACCACAGATGAAAGAGAAGTTTAGAAGTCAAAAAGTTTTGAAAGTTTGAAGCTATGGAGATATAGAAAAATAAATACAGTTTAAATTCTATCGAGTAAAATTTGTATAGATTGTAACATTGTTGTACAGAGGGATTCTAAATTAAATTTAACACTTTAATTCAAAAAAATGTAATCTTTTAAAATAGTGAAACTATTTCAATATTAACTTGAATATTCTCTTATTTGAACTTTTATTCACATGTAACAATTGAATTACTAATATACAAAATTTCTAAACCACACTTTCAGTGAATCTATTAAACTAACGATAGTTATGTAGATAGCCAATAAAAAATTAGCAGTAACATGAATTTAGATGAAGAACAATGATGAAAAAATATTGTGAAAAGTAAATTATTAAATAATCTAGCAATTTAAAGATCAATCCATATTCTTTTTTTTTTGTAACAAGGCTATGAAAAAAATCCTTATTCTTCAAAAAAAGATCATCCATATTTTTCACTTGAAAAATGCTAAGTTAGCAAGTGGACAAATCATATGTAGTTGTTGATGCTAATAAAAACATGAAAATAGGATCTAATAAAGAGAAAAAATAAGCGAGAGAAAAAGAGAAACCCTAGTTGCAGAAGTTCTAGCTCCGGCCGCCGCTCTGTCAGTTTGCCGGAGGCTACCTCCTTCTCCCCTTCCCTCTTTTTTCTTTGCTCCCTTTCTTCCCGACATCTCTTGATCGATATGCAATCTACTCTGTAAAGGTCGAGAAACTCTGGAGTTTCTACGTGTTTGACGGAGGCGGTTCCCGAATCCTTGTGGAGAGACGGCGAGACCAAGGTGAGGCGGTTTGGGAAGGGAGTTGGCGTTTAGAACTGAAGATCCATCCGGATCTGGTTTTCACTTCTTCATCTCTCCGGTGAATCTTTACAGCAACAGCGCGCGGTTCCAGTAAGACGCCTTTTTCACAATAGATATGCTTCTTTGTGTGGCGGTGTGGTGGTTAGAGAAGAGACATGACAGATGGTGAGAAGAATTTTGTATCTTGGTTCTTAGGAACAACACGCGCCAAGATTCACGATGACGGAGTTGTCTTCTGGAGTAGTGGGGTTGGTTGGAAACGCGTGGTGAAGCTCGGCTTCCCAGCATTGGCGGATTGGTCGTGACTCACTCCGGTGGTCGAGCTCCGCATTCTTCAAGCTGCGATTCGATATACTGGACACGTGAGCTGTTGCCAAGGTCCGTTTTTCAGTCTGGTTCTTGTAATCGTTTTTAGGCAATGTACTGTGACAACAACCGCCGGTGGTCTTAAGCTGAGTCTGATATGCGCTATGGTGAGGGTACTGTTGGTTCACGAGCTGAATTCCTATCATTTGGGAGTAACAGTTTGTTCTTGAATTGATCCCTAGACTTAATTTTAGCTCTACTTTAGCTCTGGTTGCGGTTATCTCGTGGTCTATTTTAGGGTAAAACCTGTCCCAAAGCCTTCAGATATACGGAGAGGAGTATGTATTGGTTTGACGATGAAGTGACTTGTCGGTCTAATTCTTCCGATCTCCAATCCAGTTGCAAAGTCCTCAAATGGAAAACCTCTCTCAATAGTGAGAAAAAGCTCTATTTCGATGATGAAGAAATTGCCGAGCTTAAAAGGTAAATTAAAAGATCCATTTGCTAAATGTTTTTTTAGAATTCTCATTATTGGTGTCTGTTGGCAAAGGATATGTTTTGTAATTGTGGTAGAATTTAGTGGTGTAAGAGATATTTCTTCCCGAGTAGTGGGGTGTTTTTGTTCTTGTAGTGGTGAAAAATACAATATCGGATTGATTAAGGTAGCGTAGGATCATTCTAAGTGTTCCTGGGTGATACTAGATCTTGATGTTGTATGTGGGGTGAAAATCTTGTGAAGTTGTAATCCGATTACTATGATTTGGATAATGAAAAATTGAAGTTGAGTAAAAAAAAAACATGAAAATAGATAATTATTGGCTTCAATAAAAGCAATATGTTCAAAAAATTTCTTTATTTGGAAATGCAAATGCAGTTTTTTTATCCGAGAAGTTCTTCAAAGTTTTAAATAAAAAAACTATGATTTTTAATATAAAAACTTAAAATGGTACGGTTTTCATTGTGATTTCATTTAAAGTAAGTAATTTGGGAAATTCCTATTTACTTTATTCAGTAACACATGTTTTTTACATCAATATTTATTGTTTAGAAATAAATAAAGAAAAAACAAATTTGCTGAAAAAGATATATACTAAAATTTTAGATGAGTTAAAAATATCAAAAACTATAAAATTGTGCTCCTCTCCTTAAATCGCTCTGGTGTTCCTATAAATGGTTCACATTCTTTGCCAAGACAATTCAATCTAGCAAAATTCTATCTAAAAACCCAAAATCGTAATCAATAGTACAATAATCTTTTAAATAATAATTAGAAAAAAATCGTGCAAACTAATGGAAAAGGTAAATTTCTTTGCAATAATCTTTATGGTGTTGATGGTAGTGACAATGGTTTCTGCGGAAGAGCCACCGGTGAAGGTGACGACCAATGAGGTGACTCTTGCGGCGGAGGCGGCTGCCTCGAGTTTCAAAAGCAGCGCCGGTGAGGCTGCTCAAGGGGCCAGGACATGGGCTGATTGGGCTACGAGCAAATTCAGGTAACATTTTCTTATTTCCTTTTTCTGTTATTATTTTTTCTTGGGCATACTTTTTTCTGTTATTTTTGAACGTTAAATATTTTGGGGAAAAAAAACAGTTATCAATTAAGCTTTCGGTATCCTTTTCTTCAGAGTTTGTTAATTAGAATATTTCTTACTTCGTTTCTAATTTTAAAATTTGTCTCGTTAACATAGGATTTGAGAACATGGGTCAATCAGTGCACCATTCGTTACCATTATCGGTTATCTTATCTATTATCATTAACCATTTTATCTTATGTTTTTCGAAGGAGTACTGGCGGAAGCTTTGAAAAAACACCCGATTCTGAGTAAAACGTATGGAAGTATTGAGTAAAACATTTACCTTCAGAATATGCATAAATGTTTATCAAGAAAAATATGTAATTGAGCAAGCAACAATATAGTTGCGTTCTCTTATATCTTATTGTATAAGAAAATTTTCCATTAAACCTAACACGTAAATTTGATAATATAATGTAAAACCCAGACAAACTTAAGCATATACACTTAATTGATGTGATTCATTGATGTAGATTATGTTTCTACAGAACATTAATACTCATGAACCTATTTGCCGAAAGACATGTTTATTGCAAAAACAAAGAGACCAAATCCTTTTCTTTAAGTGAACAATGTGTCCAAAGTTTATTCTAGATGCCAAACAAATTCTACATATGAAGTACCCAAAAAGCAAAGGGAGAGAAACGTAGAAATCAATAAGAGCATTATAACTACCTATTGACCCATCAGTCTATGGATACAACAAGATCCATATGCCACATTACTTTCTTCCACGGGTTAGCCTCTGCAAATGGTAGTTAATGTTTCCCCACGACTTGGACTTCTCCGCCTACAAACAGAAGCATTGAAAGTAAACAAAAGGTACACAGTTTCCCCAATGGTAGAAATATAAAAAAGAGTAAGAACGCAAAAAGCCATTTACATGTCCGTTCATACAAACGCTCAGGAGGTTCTTCTGTTTCTCACAGTTATCATCTTTGCATTTATTGAGAGCCATACAGTTGAGGAACGATACCATCTCCTTCATACACGGTTTTGCTATACCACCGAGCTTTTTCGGGTTTATATACAAATTTCCAGCCTTTCTCCCCATGCTTACCTCAAAAGAAAAACCAACTACAAAACAGGAAGCCAAAAAAAGTAATCAAATAAATTGCAGAAGAGAGGACCAAACAAAGGTTTCTACAAAGCTTGCTTCAACTGAACATATCTTAAAATAAACTCATATATCACGTTTTCGAAGACTGCGAGTAGTTCTAGTTACATCTACTAATCAAATAAAATTTTGAAAGGTGACCCACAGGTAATGATACAAATCATACAAATCTATGAGAAGAAAACTCAAGTTACAGAACTTAATAAGGATAATGAGTCAACTATTGCAGATAATTTTGGTGCAGTCCAGCTATAATGGGATCTTGATTCAACTCAATTCATTACGTCAACCATCTAAAGCATCATTGAAAATGACATAAGCAAACAACCAACGTTAGCAAACTAATCAGACAAAAGAACATCTTAGTCCTTGTAAAATGGATCGAAACAGTCTCAGATCCGACAAGTAGAACGAATCAGATCGAAACGCAAAATCCAGTTCTAAATTGAAACAAAGACACATACTCGGAAAGGAATGGAACCGAAGAACTTACAGTGTTGGTAAATGCGGAATCAAGGATTGATTTTTGAGAAGTCGCTGGAGAAATGGTGTAGAGGTGGGGAAGAGAGGAGAAGAAAAAAAAAAATACAAAACCCTATAGTTGTGTCAAGGAGCCCATGGACTCTTTCCCACCATGACCCGGCCCATGGATGACGACTCCACCTACTGAAAAGCGGATATTTGAACCGAAACAAAATTGAATATTTCGGTAAACCGGTTATCGTTAAACCGAAACACAGAATTTGCATAAAGTAGTGTCATTTACTCGTTCGTACGACCACGCACGTGACAAGTTTGCAGTATCCATTTGTTTTTTTTTTGTCATCTCAAAGTTAAATTAAAACTAGGGTTGGTTACATTTGTTTTTAGCTTCTAGGGGTTGGTTATACTGTATATTCTTTAGGCATCAAAATCATTACGATTAAATAAATTGTATAATACTATAATTTGTAAATTTTTCAAGTTATTCTGTTAGATTATATTATGTATTTTCAATAAATTATTATTTTGACTAAATATTTCACCAAGATCAAGTTCTATTATGTATTTTCATTAGTTTTTGTCATATTTTCTGTTATTTACTTTTCAAATTGAATTTTCACAAAAATTTATTTTGATTATGTATTATCATTTTTGTGTTTCCATCATTTTGTTAGGTTTTCTATTCTTTAATATGTGACAGAAAAATTATGTAGGCTTCCTTTTTTTTATTAGTTGGTCTAGGTTTGATGAAATGTGAAAAAATATTGTAAATAAATAAAATTTTATTTATTAATTTTAGCTATTTATTCTTCCCAGATTTATATTTAGATTATATTAATTAAATTTTACCAGGCTCAAGTTCTATTATGTATTTTCATTAAATATTTATTATTTGATTTGTTACATCTCTTTAGTTTTTTTTTTTGCTTACCAAATCATTTTCAAATTGGTGTGTTTAAATATATTTTGATCTGTAGTTGCGTTTTTACATCATTTAGCTTAAGGTCGGTGGTTAAAAATGAGAAAAGAAAATCATGAGATTCATTCTTGCTTTTATTAAGTTTGTTTCTTATTTTTGCCGTCGTCGAGTTTCTTTCATCATTTAGCTTAAGGTCGGTTTAAAAATGAGAAAAGAAAAACATGAGATTCATTCTTTTTATTGAGTTGGCTTCTTTTTTTTTTTTTATCGAGATTCTTTCTTTTTTTTTCTTAATCGAGATTCATTCTTATCTTTTTATTAGTTTTGTTTGATGAAACATTACAAAAAATAATTTTCTTATTTTAATCATGTTCTGTCTTTTTACTAATTTATCATTTGTTGACAAAATTTGATATCAAATTTTGGTTGGATTGAAAATAAATATTGACTAGAAAAGATGGGTTGCTAAATTTTTAAAATAGGTTTGATATAAGCAAGAAGAAGAATAAAATTTAGGGATAATTTATAATTTTTTTTTAAAATAGTCAAAATTATATAGTTTTAATTAATGAGTGGATTAAAAGAGAATTAAATCATTTATATATATATACTAGGGTTAAGCCCGTCCTATGGACGGGTGATCAAATTAAAAAAAAAATTTTAAATTAATCATATTTAACAAAAATAATTGGTGATTGAAAATAATTAATTTTCAGTATTTGTTTTTGTTGTTCTTGTTAGAAAGCACATGCTTGTAAAATTTTTTAATTAATGTAATTATTTTTTACTTTTATTTCTTGGTATGTTTGTATTATAAAATAAGAAAAATATTCATAAACTATTTAAATCCAATACATAACCGTTTATTTTATCTATTTTATATATTTATTTCTAGATTTTAGTTTAAAATTTGCTTGTTCTATAAATAATTAATTTTTCTCTAGGAATTGACCCGTGAGTTGCATGAATTTGTTTTCTATTAGATATTTTGTTTAACGCTTGTTTCTATTTTGAAATGTTTTATTATCATTATATATGAATTATTTTATTTAATTAGTATTTGTATCAGTTTCTATTAAAATTGTTTAATGCTTTGATATTGGGTCTTACTCTCGTTGAAAAAAACTTAATTTCATAATAAAATTATTGATATACTTTAGTGAGACTAAGACTATTTTTATTTTGGAACTATAGATTTTTAGTGCATTTGTTTTATTTTAGATTATATAGTTTGATTTTTTGATTATTTTTATTTTATTTTATATAGCGTCTTTTTTGTGTTTTACAAATCGTCTGTTATTAATTTCATGTCCATATTAAATTTATGCTCGAAGATTTTAGGGAATTCATAATATACGATTTCTCTTTTATAAAATTTATTTAGATATACAATAATCTTTGATCTCTTGTTATCATAAGAAAATTTTTTATCGTTTGTTCATTATTGTTTTATCTGTTATATATTATTTTATGTTTTTCACTAATTGTTATTAAATTCTTCATTTTAATTATGTATCGTTTTTGGCTATAGGTTTTCATTAATTTCTTGTTAACAATTACGTATCAAGTTTTATCTCAATGTGTTTGTTAGCTGCTAATTTTCCCAATTCTAAAGTTAGTAATGAAAACACAATGCCTAATACTTATAAGTATAACTTAAGATTCCGGTAATATTATATTTTTACTTCAGACCAGGTTAGGAATCTGAAAAGTTCGATAAGCATGGGCCTGATAAATGTTGTTTTCTTAACTAAAGAGTTTCCATTATTGGAGAAAGGGGCATGTAACATCCGGAAATTTGGGGTTGCTGCGTGTTACATCACACCCGCTCAACATGTAGACTGACCCCTCGTTGAGACACTGCCTGAACATGAATTGACGATTCACATTAACAGAATCTTGAATAACCGTCAACTGTTAGAAATGACAAATTATTTTTTTTAGACAATCGTAATGGAACCAATCGTCAACAGCGTTAATCGGAAAGGAGATGCTTACATTCTCGTCGTTGAGGAGCATATCTAGACTCATGAGCTCACCGTCTTTCCTCACATTTCCGGCCTCCCAAAACCTCAGCAAGTGAACCTCGGTGGTGTTGGAGCAGTGCCTGACTTTAAAATCGGCAAGGAGGATGGAATAAATCAACAATGTAGCAATCGGAAAGTTGAAAAAACTTTTCTTCTAATGCTTGTCGAAGCTGTGTTGTTCATGTCTGCAGGGAGGATGGAATAAATCACCAATGTAGCAATCGGAAAGTTGAAAAAACTTTTCTTCTAATGCTCGTCGAAGCTGTGTTGTTCATGTCTGCAAAAGGGATATATATACTCACAACTGTACATAGTTATTTTTGAGATGCGATAAGGTGGTTTTAATGATCCAAAGTGGGTTAATCACTTATAAAATAGGAGGAAAAAAGTGTGAATCAAATGTGCGTCGAGACGTTACGGAGAGTTAATAAATTATTCCGATATTTACAACCATTGTCGGCTGATCTAGGAATCTCAGACGAAAATGACGAACAAACCTATAATATTAAAGGATCTCTATAATCTGAAAGTTTAAATGCAATCTAAATAAAAACCCAGAATAAATATGTATTTTACCAATAATATAATTTTTTCTAAAATAATATAATTTTTTCTAAAACCCAACAAATAATTTTTTTAATTTTAATGAGCTGACATATGATATTTTTGCCCCCAGAAAGAGAAAATACTAACTTTATTATATAAGATACTAGTGATTTTTGTGTTGCGCTTGGAATGTTAACCATTTGATTAACTTTAAAGAGTGTTGTCCTCCGTAGATGGCTATATTAATCCTTAGATACATGTCAATTTAGAATGTATCGAAAATTTGGCTTTTACTGTTGAATGTCGTGCTGCCACTAATCTCACCAAGGATGACTGAAAGAAGTAGCAGTTACAAAAGTAGACTATAGATGCCCGAATAATTTTGCAGCTCACAAATCACATTTACATTTGCAATCTACCATGATCCATGGATCCATCGCAGTCCATAGACTAAACACTTTCAAGCACCTTATTAAGGAAGGAGGATTGTATGAGCTTAGTAATTTTAATGTAAACATACTCATTTTGTAGAAGGAGGACAAAATTCCATAAACATACCCTAAGTAAATTTCGTTAAGATTATTAATACCTAAACTTTTTTCGTTATCTAGTTTCATATCCCAACTAATTATTTTACTCATTTTAATATATAAATTTTAAAACTATGCACATTTTAATACCCAAGCTTTATTTATTTTATTATAAAATACTTCTAATTTTCCAACGAAATTTAAAAAGTTCTCTAAAATTTGCAAAATATCACAGAAAATTGTACTTTATTTTCTGTTTTAGAAGTAAGAGTAACTAAACTGTGTATAAACGTCAATTTTGTAAGAAAATTTTTAAGTTTACAATGTTGAATTTACTTTGTTTTCTGAAATAGAAAACAAACTTATTTTGTTGCCTTCAAAACTAAAATTTTAAAATGTTAATTAGAAAATAAAATTAGAATATTTCATATTTTTTCTTAGATTTTGGATATTTTTTAAATTTCATTTGAAATTTATTAGTATTTTAATTAAAATTAGCAAATTTGGGTATTAAAAAGGACACCATTTTAAAAGTTATCTATTAAAATGAAGAATAATTAGTTAGATATTAAATTAGATAGTGAATAGTTTTATATATTAAAAATATTAATGATATATAGTTAAGAGTATTTCATATTTTTCCCAAATCAGAAAATAAAATTAGAATATAAAATTAGATATTTTATATTAAATGGACCCAGTAAGAACCGATCTGAAGCCTAACCTAAAATCACAAGTACCTATTGAATCTGATTTTTCAATACCCGAAGGACTCGGATCGGACAAGAATCGATCCAAACCCCACCGGAAGACCCGAATACCAAGACATATTCTAGACATTCAGTTACTTCAATTTTCTTATAAAAATATAACCACACCAAACAAAAATTAAATCAAACTAACCATACTAGTAAAATTTGGAACTAAACTAACCAAACTAAGCGAAACTAACCAAATTTATCCATATTTTAACAGAATTTAAATCAAAATCTAACTAAAAAAAACTAAAATGAATTTAAAAACTGAACTAACAATGTACCGAACCAAAATTTATTTGGGTTAACTTAGTAAGATTTTTGTTGAGCCAAATAACCAAACTTATTGTACCTGCATGCCTATGCCAAGTTCTTGAGGTTACAACAACAATCATAAAAAAAAATTCACAACAACAAACTCCAACCTAGCTGACACATTAAGAACCTTGACAACATTTGCATTAAACGTTATTATTACAAGCAAATATAGAAATCTATTTTTCATATCAAGATATTTATGTATATATTTACATGGTTTACGTTTACTTCTTTACTTTGACTTTGGAAAAAAACTATTGTTGTTGGGGTCAAAAACGGTAATCTCGAAATCAACGTCTATGATTACTTCTCCTTACATTCTCCGAAAGAATCTCTGGCCGGAAAAACAAGAAGAGATCAAAACCGAGCAACTGTCTAGCTCGCCAACAGGCGAGCTTACCACACATGTGACCAGCTCGCCTGTTGGCAAGCTGAACGCATCTGTCTTGCTCGCCAACGGGCGAGCTGACCACACATGCCCGTTGGCGAGCTGTACAGATGCATTCAGCTCGCCAATGGGCAAGCTGGTCACATGTGTGGTCAGCTCGTTCATTGGCGAGCTGGACAGATGGGCGAGCAGAACGCATCTGTCCAGCTCGCCAACGAGCGAGCTGACCACACATGTGACCAGATCGCTCATTGGCGAGCTGAACTAAACCATATATGCCCCGTGACTCGATCGTACTCTGAGCCGTGATTGGAATGTCTTTCGTTTCGTTTCAATACGCCCTATCGTTTGAGTTTTACGATAAAAACCGTAAAAGATGCGTTTTTAGTAAAACCTCGAGTAAATTGTATAAAACGGCAATGGCTAAACGAAACACCGAATATTGCCAAACTATACGATTAACTCGAGATTTTTTATAAAAAATCGCTAAAGACGCGTTTTCTCGTAAAACCTCGAGTAAATCGTATAAAACGGCAATAGCTAAACGGAACACCAAACATTGCCAAACTATACGATTAATTTGAGATGTTTACTTAAAAACGACATCATATCAGGAAACGATCTCGTCTAAAGTCTTAAAATGACTAAATCGTAAAACTGCCCGAAAGGTCTTAAAACGCGATAACGGCCCACTCGTGACTTTGAATAAGGTCTAGCCCAAAGATACAATGAAGGCTTTGATTATCCGCAGGAGTGGATAAATGTCAAGATTGAAGATAAATAGAAGTTTTCCGAAGAAAAATGGAAAGATCGAGAAAAATGGAAGATTTCCGATAAGCGCGAATCGCAGCGGAAAAAGAAAGACCAACCGCCTAGAGAAGGAGTATATAAGCTTGAGGTCGAAGTCAAGAGGAGGCAGAGCTTTTTAGACCTAGAAAAACAGATGTTAGCTTAGGCGAATTTAGGACTTAGGTGGCTAGACTAGCAAGTCGGATTCTTGGAACGTTTTGTCGTCTAAGTTTCGCGATTCTCTTTGTAACAGCTTCTCAATCTCTTTATCAATAATAGCCTTTGCGCAACTTCTTCATCTGTATTCTCTTATCTTTTTCGTTTTAAGTGTGTTTCCGCAGAGATTCAGAACCTCGGGAAATTTAGGGTTTTCCCTAAGTTTCCATATTTGACGTAAAATCAAGAGTGAGAATTTCGGTTCCCACAGTTTGGCGCTAGAAGGAGGGGGGTTCGGATTCTCTTACACAATAACCACTGAACGAACGAAAAACGATATGCCTAACTCAACGGCGATATCATCTCGTTCAAGGACAAAGCAACGGTCGACTCGACCAAACCTCTTAACGACTTTCTTGTCATCGATCTGACAATCAAGAATATGGATGTCGCAAGGATATTAGTTGATACCAGAAGCTCGGCTGATATCATCTTCAAAAACACCATCGAGAGAATGGAAATCGATCCATCCGAAATCGCGGAAAACTCAAGCCCGCTAGTAGGACTCTCGGGTGAAATCACCATGACTCTCGGCACAGTCAACCTTACGGTTCAAGCCGGAAGCATGACGAAAATCGTCGAATTCCTAGTCATCGACAGACCCACGTCCTACAACGCAATCATAGGAACACCGTGGCTAAACTCGATGCAAGCGGTACCATCGACGTACCATATGTGTCTCAAGTTCCCAACCCCACGCGGAAATTGGAAAATCTCGCAGGTCTGCTATGCTGAGGATTTAAAACGAAAAGGTCCTTCGGCTGACGCTCCCTCTAAAACTAAAAAGAAATTGTATGTCATCGACCACGCCCCAGAACGAGATAAAACTGAAATCTTTTGGCAGTCGCGAGCAGCCGAAGTGCTGGGGAAGTGCGAGCCTACCTGCGAACCTGTCATCTCGGTATGCATCGACGAAGCATTCCCAGAACTCTGGTTGAAATCAGTGCGAACCTAAACGTGAATTTAAAAGACGAGCTCTTGGCTTGTCTGAAAAGGAACTCAAACACGTTCGCATGGACCGCAGAAGACATGCCAGGGATCGACATAAACATCACTTGTCACAAGCTCAACGTTGACCCTACGTCAAAACTCGTCAAACAAAATAGATGGAAACTAGGACCAGAACGTGCCGAAGCAGTCAACAATGAGGTCGACAGACTCCTCAAGGTTGGATTCATAACGAAAGTTAGATACCCCGTCTAGCTCTCAAATTATGTCGTTGTCAAGAAAAAGAATGGGAAGTGGCGAGTTTGCGTCGACTTCACTGACTTAAATAAGGCATGTCCTAAAGATAGCTATCCACTGCCGCACATCGACCGCTTGGTTGAGGCAACGGCATGAAACAAACTCTTATCTTTTATGGATGCTTTTTCTGGGTACAATCAGATCATGATGAATCTTGACGATCGAGAAAAAACCGCATTCATAGCCGATCACGGAACTTACTGTTATAAAGTAATGCCGTTCGGCCTTACGAACGCCGGCGTGACTTATCAACTAATCGTCAATCGCATGTTCTCCGAACAACTCAGAAAAAGATGGAAGTGTACAGCCACAATATGCTCGTGAAATCACTTAAGGCGCAAGAGCATGTCGCACACCTCCAAGAATGTTTCGAGAGGCTCAATTTTCACAACATGAAGCTAAATCCCGCCAATTGCCGATTCGCCGTCGCATCCGGAGAATTCTTGGGATACCTCGTTACCTTCCGAGGAATTGAGACCAACCCGAAACAAATCACAGCACTAATAGAAATGTCATCCCCCAAGACAAAGCGCGAGGTACACAGACTGACCGGTAAAGTCGCATAACTTAACCGTTTCATCTCGCGATCAACGGAAAAATGTCTTCTTTTCTACAATACTTTGAAGGGAAACAAAAAGTTCGAGTGGTCGGAGGAATGCGAGAAAGCTTTCCAACAGCTAAAGCATTACCTAGCCACCCCGCCACTACTCGCAAAACCAGTGGAAGGGGAACCGCTATTCCTCTACATTGCAGTATCGATAACAGCCGTAAGTGGCGTCCTCATTCGGGAAGAACTCGGCAAGCAAAACCCAATCTTATACGTAAGTAAAACTTTGCAAGACGCAGAAACGCGATACCCGATGATGGAAAAATTGGCATTAGCGGTGGTAATGTCGGCGAGAAAACTAAGACCGTATTTCCAATCTCACACCATTGTGGTACCCACTTCTTTCCCTCTCTGCACAATTTTGCACAGCCCCAGCCAGTTGGGAAGGTTAGAAAAATGGGCGATTGAGCTGAGCGAGTACGACATCGAATACCGTGCAAAAACCTGTGCGAAATCGCAAGTACTCGCAGACTTCTTAGTAGAGCTCCCAACAGGAGGCGCACCCGACTAGGAGCCGAACACGACCTGGACCCTATACGTTGATGGATCTTCATCCAAACAAGGTTCCGGAATCGGCATCC